CGTCGAGATCACCTCGATGGACGATCGAACGATCATAGTGCGAGTTTGTTCTTGCCTGGTTCCCTGTTCGATGCCTGTAGGACCGCCATCTTGTCCCCCTCTTCGTTGGATCAGCGGTGCTCAATATCGAGCGCCAAGTTTAACAGAATTTCAGGCTCCTCTACCGCGAGTAATATATATACTATCGATCGATCGACGATCCTCCGATCTACCGACAGATCGACACGTGGTTTACAGACGAAAGATTAGCTACACTAGCATCTCATTACTTATTGTCCTTGTTCAAGCAACTCGAGTTCTCCGAGTTTCTAACCTCTCGGAAAGGTCCTCTGCGCTCTCGGAGAGCAACCAATAACGCGGATCGGCGCTGATTCAATTTTCACGAATTTACGAAGCGAGGTTTAGGAACTCTCACTTCGTTCTGTTCGTATCGAGATAATCGACGAAAGGTAGCGGGAAGGGAGAAGACAAAGCATAGAAGAGAACCATCTGCAGACCATCTGTCGAAGAAGACCAACGATGTCATTGAGAAGATGAATCGAAGAAATCGGGACTCCAACTGACAACTTATCCTATCCATGTTTAGTCTAAAGCCAGGGGGGAGTCTTTGAAAATACAGTAGTCTCCACGTAACTGACCATACTTTGGACCTCGTAACTGACCAGCGCTTATTTCCACAAATTTTTGGAATTGGCACTGTACCCACTCTTTGCTATCTTACCGTGAAACACTCGTACAACACAAAACAAGCAATATATGATACCGATATATCGGCGTGATTAATCGAATCATTGTAATTTATTGTTTTATTTCAGTTTGTTTTATTTAGTTTATATTATATAGTTATGTATGTATTAAGTAAATGGAATGTACGTGCCACGTACGTCGAGAATTTCTATCGAGTGATATCATACCGATGAGTTGAAAAAGAAAGCGACGAATTTATTGTGTACGGTTTGGTCACTCGTTATGGTCCGCGAATCAATTGCCAGCGCAAGGAGTTAACCTCTTGCCATGCACGTTCGAGAATTTTTTGCAATTCTCAAAATTGCAATATTTCCTCAGTTTTAAATATATTTAAATTTAAACCCAGGCAAAACAAATAATAAATTTATTATTTCTTGGTAATTTCTATTTATTAGTGATATCACATCGACGAGTTGAAAAAGAAAGCGACGAATTTATTGTGTACGGTTTGGTCACTCGTTATGGTCCGCGAATCAATTGCCAGTGCAAGGAGTTAACTTCTTGCCATGCACGTTCGAGAATTTTTTGCAATTCCCAAAATTGCAATATTTCCTCAGTTTTAAATATATTTAAATCTAAATCCAGGCAAAACAAATAATAAATTTATTATTTCTTGGTAATTTCTATTTATTAGTGATATCACATCGACGAGTTGAAAAAGAAAGCGACGAATTTATTGTGTACGGTTTGGTCACTCGTTATGGTCCGCAAATCAGTTGCCAGCGCAAGGGGTTGACCTCTCGAGAATTTCTTCTCCCAAAATTGTAATATTTTCTCAATTGTAAGTATATTCAAGTATAATTCTAAAATAAATACAAAATAAATAATAAATTTATTACTTGTTAATAATTTCTATCCAGTGATAT